CCCACCTCCCCCCCCCCTCCCCCGGCGGGCCCCCCACCCCCCCCAAAAAAACCCCCCCCCCCCCCCCCCCCCCCCGCTATCATTAGTACATTTACTCAAGTGAAAAATCAAGCATTTTCATTTCACTTTTTCAGCTGGGTATACAGGGTGGCTGCCACTGCAGAGCGTGGGAAGCTGCGACCCGACGCGGGTCAGATGGTGGACAGGTTGGCAGCTGGCAGTGTGTGTACGACGGCTCCTAAAGACTCCTCTGCACTCTGGTCTGATGGTCGGACCCGTTTTCTGGCTTAGCCTTATTTTAAACTCTAGTGGAGACCCACTGAAGATACTAAATATGTCAGGCTGAATTAGGAGGGCATGTGTATTAAAGTATGCATTTCCATTCCATTTCCATTTGCTGCAAAGGTGCCTTTAATCAGAAGCATTGGAAGCTTCTGTCATGCTCTTCTCCCTGATATGGTCCCATTTGTTGATGTTCACTAAAAAGCCATTATAAAAACAAGTCAAAGAAACTTGCTTGTCAGCATTAACTAACGTGTTCAGAGTATCATTCTGCCTCCATCTATGCTCTGCCCACAAAAACACATTATCATGTTTACAACAGAAATATGCAATGGAATCATAATGTCAATTTTAAAGACTTGTTTCATCTAAATCACACAAAACCTATTTTGTCATTAACCTCCAATTGTAACTCACCATGTAGATGGTTTATATGTCCAGGTTTTGAGACATCTGTCTCTGACATTTCTGCGTCCAGTCCAATGCATTATAAAGTTAATAGACTTTCTAGAACCCGCTCCCTCACTGTTTTCCCACTTGATTGACACACAAAAACAGGTTGATGGGCTTTTATTTGGTTCATGAACCGTTCCACACACTTCCAGTGACGGACACACCAAAAGCTCAGCTCAGCCCAGCCTCCGCCTCGAGTCTATAAACCTGAGGGATAAAACTCAAACATGTGACATTCCTGAAGCATTCCTCCCTATCCCAATGGCTGTTTCTCCCACCCACCTCCCTGTCCAATGCTAATATTTTCAGTTGGCAAGAGGCTGTAAACGAGCTCTCAAGCTCTTGTGCAACAGATCATCTCAGAGGAACTCCCCTCCAGAGTGTTTATCCTCTTCTCACTCCTGCATAATTTGCCTAAAACGCCTATCAACCGCGTACCCAAAGTAAACTGACAGCTCTTATTGAACCATTGGGAGTACATGTATGGTTTTAGTCTCGATTGAATGGCAACACTCTGAAGTTTCTTCACAATCAGTCAGAATCACTGTAAGTGCTACTAGCATTGAGCTAATGCGTTTTCAGCACAGTGAAAGAGAAGGATTTTATTTCCGCCTAGATTTGTTTTGGCCAACAGATGGCAGCAGTTATCTATGGCTGGGACTTACAGGCCTGAAAAGACAATACTAGGTCACCATGGAGCCATGGTACCTGGTATAAGTTATAATTTGATAACAATACGACAGAAAATTAATATTTTACATGTGGTTTACTAAGAGTGCGGCCGCGTAAAAACGCACTTGGAGGCATGCATCACCACGTCAAAATGCATATCGTCAAAATGCATATACTAAATGCATATACTACGTGTCCGAAATTCGAACTATAGTTTATTTATGTCGATGTATGGTTAACTATATCATATTTAACCATTGTCAAATCTCACAGATTCTTGAAGATTCTCATGAACCACACTTTGGTCTTGATACTCTGTCCGTTACCTCAGTCACGGTTTCAATTGCAGTTTTGAAAACTTTCCCAGCATTCAATCTGATAAAACTGCATATCCTTGGCTTCGTAATTTCATTGGCTATATGGAGCCTGAGTTTGAACAGGATCTGTTGCGATTGGCTCGAGCTTTACCCAAAGAAGAGAGGCGGGCATTGTCTTTCAAAGCGGACTCTCGTTGGCTGTTCCAGACTGTGACCGGGCTATAGAAGCTCCTATTGGGTCAAATGAGGTGTCAATCTAACCGGCGGAATGCAGGCTCCATTTTCAAAATCTCCGCTCTGTTGACATGGAAAGTGAAATTATGCCCGAAATATGATAGCGAGTTATCATATCTGCTGGCTAATTTGAAATGATGCAACAGCCCCCCGTGGGTCTTTATGGACGTACTAATGTGTTTTGGACTAAATCTTTTACTGGATTCGATCGAGTGGACCCTTAGCCACCTAGCAAGACCGTTTTTGATGGGCTAGCATGCACAAGGGGCACGTTATGGATCATAATCTGTGAGTCATGGCGATATTTTATCGGCTACTTTTAGAGTGCTTGTTTGACAGAGACGTTAACTGTACCTGCTGTTGTTATTGTATCTTGAAATGGTTTGCAGAAATCAAATTACAAGAACCGTAGCTTTCTAATGAGATATCACATTAATACTCATCGTTACAGAGCAGTTGTGTACATAACACAAATATGCCGTCATCACTCTGACGGCCCGCGGGCGGGCATATTCTTCCCCAACTCCAACATAACACACTCATAAAACCATAAGTGTGTGGACAAAACTGATACCAGAGATGTGGAGATAAACAGTGTTTTCCTGTCGGTGGGGTCAAAAGGCCAGTGAGGATTGCAGTAAAAACTTTTTTTCCCAGTGAAATTCAGTGAATCGGGGAAATTTATCAGCTGTTGGTATCTTATCTGAATGGATTCCCAGAGCCACGGGCGTCCGGCACTTTCTGAAGAAAAGTGGGAATGTTATTTATGGGAAGAGGATGCCATCTACTGGGACAGCAGCACCACTGTGAGCAGCAGGACACACCTGCTGGAATCCAAGTGCCTGAACGCCTCCTCAAACTTCTACTGACCGCAGCAATTTCTCAAGTAAGAGGTTAAGTTCAGTTGTATTTTGGATATTTCTATGTCATCTACTCATTTCTCTCTCGTTGAGGGGTTAGGGAGGAGGGTTTCGAGGGCATTAGGGTAAGAAAGGAGTGAAATGGAGGAGAGGGAACACAGACAGAGGGAATGTATATTCTGTCCCAGCTAAACTAGTTCATTAAGCACACAGACACATGACATTTAGGAGATGTTTTGTTTTCAAGTGAGTATTTCTTTTATTTTTGCAAATTAATAAACAAAGATTAATATTTTTGGAAGGAAATTACTTAATTTGACACATTTTAACCCCACTAAATTGTCTTGTTTTGTGTATATATACAGTTATGTGAAAAGTGTTTGCCCCCTTCCTGATTTCTTATTTTTTTGCATGTTTGTCACA